TATATCTGAAACGAATATAAATATTGCTACAAAGTAAAGTAATAGGCTATACAAGTCCCTGTACTGGGCACAGGACTCTTATTTTATTTCTGAGAGGGTTTTAGGGCAAGGAAATGCCCGCCGTGCTTCCCCAATGCGTGTTGACGAAAATTGCAATTACAAATTTCATTCGTGCTGTCGGGGATCAAACCCGGGAAAATTTACAGCGAACGCTTTGACGACATATTTTTAATACGACACAAATAAATACGATTTAACATATATAATAAAAATTCTTACGTACTTGAAACTTGAACACTTGTACACACACTTAAACACAATGTAATTGAAGATGCGTAACCGCAACATAGTTCTCAGTGATGCGCAAGCATAACAGGCAGTATGTCACTTATATAATTGTCATCTCTGCAGTCTAATAATCTTTGCACTTTTATAAGTAATACAGAACGTAGTTGCTAGACGGTGTTGACATCGGCTAAAATCTCTGCGATCGCCGTTTCGTCAAGGTCATTCAGGCTAGTTAAAGCCTTAAACCAATGTACTAGTTTCGATAGAGCATTATTTACATCGTCATATTTAATTGACGGCCGTTTGAGTTTGAAAATTAAAGAGGTAACGTCAGCAAATAATACTATATCGTGATTGTCCCCTACAAGATAAGGTAAGTCATTAATATAGATTAAGAACAGGAATGGGCCAAGAATCGAGCCCTGAGGAACGCCCATCGATACTACCGATCCGAAGGAACATTTACCATTGATGAAGACTTTTTGAGTTCTGTTACTTAAATATGAAGTAATAAGTCTAAGCGCCGTGTAGTGGCGGTTAAGAATATCCACTACCCCATATCTTCCCGTGGGTGTCGTAAAAGGCGACAAAGGGAAACAGGCTGGAGATGGGCAGCAGCATCTTCCTGATAACAACAAACATACAATAAAAAAACTGCGATTGCCAACCCGCTCGCCAAGCGTGGTAACTATGGCAAATACCCCTCTATGATGAGAGTAACAAAGAAACGGCCCCCAGTCTCCGGCGGCCCCGCTATTCCTGGCTACGGTGGCGACCATGGTAACGGCGGGGCAGGGGATGCTAAGAATCTCCGGTGGAGGTTCGGTTGCCACCTAAGACGATTCGATCTGGCAACATACAACGCACGCACCCTGAGAACTGACGAGAACATCGTGGAGCTGGAAGAAGAGATAGACAAGTTACGCTGGCATATTATAGGATTATCCGAAGTCCGAAGAGAGGGGGAGGACACGGTAATCCTCGAATGCGGCAACTTGCTCTGTCACCGGGAGGGCGACCATCTGTTCCAAGGAGGTGTCGGATTTATCGTCCACAAGTCTCTCGTTAACAACGTCGTAAAGATTGAGAGTGTGTCGACGAGGGTTGCGTACCTTATACTCAGAATCACCAAACGGTATTCGCTAAAGGTCATACAGGTTTACGCACCAACCTCGGCACACCCCGATGAGGAGGTGGAGGAAATGTATGAGGATATCTCTAGAGCCATGCATTCCTCCAAAACCCAATATACGGTGTTAATGGGAGACTTCAATGCAAAACTAGGCACAAGAGAGAACGGTGAGCTGAAAGTAGGGAAATTTGGAATAGGGCAACGGAACCCAAGGGGCCAGCAGCTGGTCGACTTCATGGAGAAAGAGGGACTCTTTATGATGAACTCTTTCTTCCAGACGCGGCCCCACAGGAAGTGGACCTGGTCGAGCCCCGACGGTTCGACAAAAAATGAGATTGACTTCATTATGACGACCAGACGACAACTGTTCAGTGATGTCTCCGTGATCGCGAGAGTGAAAACTGGTAGCGATCACCGAATGGTTAGAGGCACACTGAACCTACCACGTTAAGTTGGAGAGGTCTCGTCTGATGAAGTCAACGCTCCGTCCCCCTCGTGCTCTGTTCCAGAGTCCCGAAACCTTTCAGCTCGAGTTACGAAACCGTTTTCAGTGCCTAGAAGACTGCAATGAAGTGGACGATATGAATGACAAGCTCGTGGAAACTGTCCATGCGGTCGGAGCTAAGTTCTGCAAGACCCGCCGCAGAAGAACACATGGTAGACGAGAGATGAAGCTACATTCTTCAACAGATTTGACAGCATACAGGCAACTGAACAGGTAGATCTCCAAATGCATGCGGCGGGACTTACGCAACTTCAATACAGCGGAAGCGATCGAGCGGAACCAAGGCTCCAGTCCTTGCCAGAGATCTGTCTGCCAGAAAGAGCCAACTGTCAAAGCTGAAGACCGAATGTGGCAGCATCGTTCCCGGAACACCTGAGATTTTGAGTGAGATTGAGAGGTTCTATGGGCAGCTGTACACGTCATCGTTAGAGCCACACGCAAGTGTGAGTAACGATCCAAGAGCGAGTCTTATCTGACACTATTCCGAAGATATCCCGGACGTCAGTCGGAGCGAGATTAGAATGGCTCTCCAGCACCTTAAAAACGGCAAGGCTCCAGGCGAGGATGGAATTACAGCGGAGCTTCTGAAAGCGGGTGGAAGACCGGTACTTGAAGTCCTTCAGAAGCTCTTTAACTCCGTCCTCCATGGTGGCATTACACCGGAGGCGTGGAGCAGAAGTGCGGTGGTCTTGTTCTTCAAGAAAGGTGACAACGCTCTCTTGAAGAACTACAGACCGATTTCCCTTCTGAGCCGCGTCTACGTGCTGTTTTCGAGAGTCATTACGAATCGTCTCGCGCGCAGAATTGACGACTTCCAGCCTCCCGAACAAGCCGGTTTCCGAAAGGGCTTTAGCACCATAGACCACATATATACCCTTCGGCAAATTGTACAGAAGTCCGAGGAGTACAATTTGCCACTATGTCTGGCGTATGTGGACTATGAGAAAGCCTTTGATTCCGTCGAAATTTGGGCGGTGCCAAATCCTTCAGCGATGCCAAGTTGACTGTCCGTATATCGAAGTGCTGAAGTGTTTGTACAGTAGAGCTATGATGGCTTTCCGAGTACAGAACCAGAGTACGAAACCTATCCATTTGCAGAGAGGTTTAAGACAGGGTGATGTTATATCCCCGAAACTCTTCACCGCTGCATTGGAAAACGTTTTCATGCTTCTGGACTGGAAAGGATACGGTATTAACATCAATGGCGAGTACATCACTCACCTGCGATTTGCCGACGATATAGTCCTTCTGGCAGATTCGCTGGAGGACCTAAGCACTATGCTCAATGACCTCAATAGTGTCTCCCAACGAATAGGTCTTAGGATGAACATGGACAAAACAAAGACCATGTTTAATGTCCATGTCACACCTATGTCGGTAGTTGTTGGGAGCACTAAGCTCGAAGTTGTTGACGAGTATGTTTACCTGGGACAAATAGTCCGACTAGGTAAGTCCAACTTCGACCGAGAGGTCAATCCACGGATTCAACTCGACTGGGCAGCGTTCGGGAAACTACGACACATCTTCTCCTCAGACATACCTCAAAACCTTAAAACGAAATTGTACAACCAGTGCGTGTTGCCAGTGATGACTTACGGATCTAAGACGTGGTCCATCACTGCTGGCCGTATGAGGAAGCTCAAGGTCGCTCAGCGAGCTATGGAGAGGGCTATGCTCGGGGTTTCTCTGCGTGATAAACTTAGAAATGAGTATATCCGCAGTAGAACCAGAGTAACCGACATAGCCCAACGGATTAGTAAGCTGAAGTGGCAGTGGGCCGGCCATATAGCTCGAAGAACCGACAACCGAGGGGTAAGAAAGGTTCTTGAGTGGCAGCCTCGCACCGGCAGGCGGAGTGTAAGGCGACCCCCCACGAGATGGAGCTACGACCTGGTAAGACATGCAGGAAGTCGATGGATGCAGGTGGCTCAGGACCTTGCTTTGTGGCATTCCTTGGGGGAGGCTTATGTTCAGCAGTGGACTTATGAAAGGCTGTAATGATGATGATGAAGTGTAACCGCCAAATTTTTTACACCGTAATGTTGTAGTTTCCTGATTAATGTATCATGATGAACACAATCGAAAGCCTTGGAAAGGTCACAGAAAATACCTAAGGCGTCTTGTGAATTCTCCCAGGCATTAAAAATATATTTCATAAGCTCAACACCGGCGTCAGACGTCGAGCGACCCCTTGTAAAACTAAATTGATTTTTATGAAGTAATTTATTTGTATTAAAAAAAAATTAACAATTGATCCAAAATTATTTTTTCAACAATTTACTGAGAGTTGGTAGTACAGAAATAGGTCTATAATTAGCAGGGTCCAATGTACTAACAGATTTAAATAAAGGTATTACTTTACTATACTTCATTAAATCAGGAAACACACCAGGGTCGATACAAGTATTAAAAATAATAGCAAGATGAGGTGCAATCAAATCTATTATGGACGCAATCACTGTAACGGAAATCCCCCACAAATCTGCGGTTTTCTTTACATCAATGGTTTTGAAGTATTTTACAATATTATGCGGTAATACTTTTTCAAATCTAAATTCTTTTAACCCTTAAGTGCATAGTTTATCAAAACTGATAATACGGTTTTCTAGACTCCTAATTCCTGAACGAAAGTCGTTTAACCGGAAATTTTGATTTCTGAACGTGTCGTTATATGTCATAGACTCGTCTGTGATTGGTTTATTCAAATACTTACATGTGATTGGTCCAAAGTTTAAAGTTTCGATGACAGCGCAGACAGTTTGTAGAGTAAAACGAATTCGTAATTTTCATCCGAAGAAATCTTACAAATAAAAGTGTGTTCAACTAATAAAAAAATTATTTTTTGGAAGGTTAGTATCTATATTTTGTGTCCATGTTTTAATTTTTCAATAAAATTGTACATTTGGTAAAATTTTTGGGCTTGAAGTTTGTTATCAAAAATGATAATGTATGCAGTAGCGGTAAAACTTTTTCGATATATGGGTTTATTATTTTTTAATGTTTTTTTCGGATTCGTTTCTTTATTTAAGTTTTTTTTTAAACAGATATTTGTTTTTAGGTTTCTAGCAGCGGACAATGAATGACGAAGACATTTCGACACTCTTATGGCGGTTAGAAAATGGAGAGGTATCAGAAGATGAAAGTGATCTAGAAGAGGATGCCTTAGACTATTATGATAATGTCGGTGAGTTGCAAGCAGATCTTGAAAGAGAGAACCAAATACTAGAAGAAATATTGACCGAAAATGATGGGACAGCCCCTGATCCTCCACTAATATTTGATGAACTAGTAGAAAACCAGCCCCATTCCAACGCCACTCCTAGTTTACGGGATTTGATATGGAAAAAGAAGAATTTGGATTTGGTGGATCAGGCTTTTACATTTCTTGGATGTACTGACTACCCTCCGATTATTATGAATTTATCTACTCCTTATCAGTATTTTTCATACTTTTTTGATGAAAGTTTACTCGCAAGAATCGTTACTGAATCTAATAAATATGCCATACAAAAAAATATTAATTTTTCTGAACCAATGACAGTTCTGGAACTGAGAAAATATATTGGTATCTTGATTTATACTTCGGTATATCACTATCCTAGTATAAGATCCTACTGGGCAAATAATGTAAGATTCCATCCAATAGCTGATACGATGACCGTTAACCGTTTTGAAAAAAATCGGGAAATTCTTCATTTTAACGATAATGAAGGTCACTTACCCCGTGAACATCCTGAACATGACAGATTATACAAAATACGAACAATAGTGGACCACCTAAATCAACGATTCATGTCAGTTCCTTTTGATCATAGACTTTCATTAGATGAGCAGATGTGCGCAACTAAAATTTCGCACTTTATGAAGCAGTACTTGCCCAACAAGCCTCATAAATGGGGCTTCAAATTGTACGTGCTCTGTTGTCTGATGGGTTACGCATATTCATTTGAAATTTACTCAGGAACTCATGACTACAAAAGACTACCAAATGAGCCAAATCTTGGAGCAGTTTCAAATACAGTGGTGCGTTTGCTTCGACCTGTACCGAGAAAAGTAAATCATATAGTGTACTTTGACAACTTTTATTCAAGCCTGACTCTGTTTCATCATTTGCACAAGGAAGGCATATATTGCTTAGGTACAGTTCAAAGAAACAGATTAGGAAAAACCTGTAAGCTACCAAAAAAGGAAGATGTACAGAAAACATCTGTACCAAGGGGTTCGTACGACGAGAATGTTGCTTCTCTTGATGGTGTTGAGTTTGCAGCGACTAGCTGGAAGGATAACAAACAGGTCTTGCTGTTATCTACGTATGTAGGTGCAAATCCTGTGGGTACTATTAGCCGCTATGACAAGAAGCAGAAAAAAAACATATCAATACCATGTCCGAAAGTAATTGAAGAATACACATATGGGGGGTGTGGACACAATGGATAGTTATTTAGGGCGATATAAGATCCGAATGAAGTCCAAGAAGTGGACCAATAGACTATTCCAACATATGCTGGACATGGCGGTAATAAACAGCTGGATTTTATACAAGAAAGTTTCACTGAAAAAGAAAACAAATCCAAAAAACATTTTAAAACTTGTTGATTTTCGGACGGAGCTAGCTGAAACTTTGTGCAAGTATGGGGCCGTATCTGAAAATAAAAGAGGCAGACCCAGCATGAATAGACAGGAAAATACGTCAAAAAAGAGACCAAAGATTGGTGCACAGACATTACCACCAAACGACGTCCGTACTGATGGAGTTGGACATGACAAAAGCTACAACACTAAGAGAAATCAATGCAAATATGCAAATTGCAAAAAACTAACTTCTGTAATGTGTACTAAGTGCAAAATATCGCTTTGTGACAATAGAAAAAATAATTGCTTTCAAGTTTTTCATGCTATGTAAAAATAAAATAGCATTAAGTATAAAAACTTGGGTACTTTATGTTTTCTAGTATCACTAAGCAAAAAACTTCTTAATGCATAGTTTATCAAAATTGATAACAACTTTTTTTTGCCAATAAAACTTTTAATATACAGATATAATTTTTTTTATTATTTTTCCTATGATCAGGAGGTCACGCTTTAACACATATATTTTATTCTTTCAAAAATAAAAATTCATGCACCTAAGGGTTAAACAGGTATTAACATTCTGTTTAAGTAATAACTCGGCGACAGTTGGAGAAGTATTCAATGACTCTGTTGTCAAGATAGGAACATCAGTGAAATATTTCTCAAACACCGCTGCAACTTCTTGATTTGATTTAGTCAATTAATTATTAATTTTTAATTGATAGTTTGAGTTACGAGGTTTCTCTTTACCGGTTTCGCTGTTAATTATACTCCACGTCATTTTAATTTTATTCTTAGCTGTTTTAATTTTGTTACTAATATGTAATGATTTGGCTGTGGAGCAAACTCTTTTAAACATTTTAGAATAATTTTTTACATATTCTTTAAAAGCATCGGAAAGATTATACGATCTTTCATGGTAAAGGTCATATAACCTTCGTCTGCTTTTATGAATTCCTACTGTCGCCCACTCATTAAATGCCTTGCGACTGTTTCTGGAGAATGTTTTAGAAGTGAATGTTTTATTAAATTCATTATTTATAAGGGTAAATAATTCTGCATATAAATAGTCTGCATTGTTCTTATAAGAAAGGGATGGAAGGTTTTTTACCATATTACTTCTAAATCTCTCCAGGCGTTTTGCATTAATAGGAACAAACACAATTTTCTCAACCTGTTTTTTGTGCATATATAAACTAAAATAACTTAATAATACAACAAAAAACATATTCTATTGTGATTTGACATTATTATAAGGCTCCAGACAGATGATATTTTTAATAGAAAAGAAATGGATATAAGACGAAAGTTTAAAGTACCCTTAACAGACTAGCATAGATTACTGTATGTATACTCAAACGAGCATGTGTGCGTATCTATATGAATATAAAGGAGACGAGAAAGATGTCGGGATCATGTCAAATAGAAGTCTCGTAGTCTCTGCCTACCCCTCTGAGAGACAGGGGTGAGTGTTTATGTTTCTTTTATATCAACGACACATATCGAGCCTAAATATTCTCGAACCCTGGTATCTACCAACTTTAAAAGAAAATTGAGCGTTAGAAATGCAACGGAATGAATTAAACGATATAATAAATAATACACACTATTGCTGTTCGAAATTGTTTATTATGCCAATCATCCAATGACTACACTTTCTTACGAAATAGGAGCAAAATAAATAATTATAATATATTATGCTAAACAGGTAGATGTACTATACAGACAATAGCTTCAACATCGCAGATCAACTTGTATCAAAAATACCCAACTTAATACTAATTTACAGAGACAATTTAAAATTATTTGATCAAATACAAGCTGATAAGTTATATTGAAGCTTTTAAACACGAACTTACTTGCATCATAAAAATGTAAATTCAATTTATAAAATTCTTTAGGCTTTACAAACTTAAACTGGTACCTGTATACTTTAGAAGCGTATGAAACTTAAATTAGTATATACTTTAGAAATGCTTAATTTTAAAATTTGGTCAAAAGTAGCAGCGCGTCGCTGCCTTAAGTAGTGATGAGATCCCTTAGACTGAAAAAACAAATCAGTTTTAAATGTCCCACGACTGGACACAAGCCCTCCCCCCTCCCTAATTTTTGATCATATAATATCCAAACGTATATTACAAAGTGAAGGTGCTCACTAATTGACAATCATCACTTTATTACGAAAAAGACATGTCGCAATTTACCGTTTTAAGAAGGACCCGTTTTTAATAAATATTATCAAAGTGAGCTAAAACTAAAATAACCCAGTTTTTTTTATGCTATAACTCTATTCATTGGGTTGACTTAGCACGATAAATTGCCGTAATTTGATGAGTTGTGTTTAGAGACACTTCTAAACATAAAACCTGCATGAGTTATCTATCAACATTGTCAAATATATGTCTCTAGTCTCTGCACACATCATCATTTGAGCTTCTAGAACAACATGCGATGCGCCAAATCAGGTACCAAGACTCTGAACGTGAATATCAAACATCCATACTTATCTAAGAGTAAAACGTTTTTACATTTTACAATTTTAAGAATTTTACGGAAAACGTTAGTTTAGATATGGATTTTAGTGGCAAATGTTCCATTTGATTCCAATTTTTATTGTTTTAGGCGTTAGGTGTTCAGCCCTTGCTTTACGGAAATCCGTTATATCACAGAATAGATACTAAATAGTACAAGTACTGATATTAAACATGTTAAAATTTATTCACTAAGATGCCCGTAATAAAATAAAATAAAATGATGTGTCTTCCTCTTCCTCGTTTGTAGACTGGACATGTTTAAAAGACTTCTTGCATCTTAGCTATATCATTTTTATACTTAAATATATAATAAATAAATATATTCAAATAAGATTAACATTTATATAAAATGATATAAGAATACATGATGTGCCGATATCATTGTTTGTAGAAACAGAAACAGTAACACCAACTCTAACAAACTAATTTATCTTAACACACATTGTAGTTTTTTGATTTTGCATGGATCAGAATGGACCTGCTTATATTTATTGCTGATTTTCAGTATGCTAAATGAATTCGTCATAGTAATGACCCTGAGTATAACTGACCGGATTAGGATGGTAAGTTGCTACGTGATAAGTTATACGGCTTAGCTACTTTGTAAACTTGTATGAACTATATTATATTATTACACACTGGTAAGCCCCTCACATGACTCACGTGGGGTGACGCTCTAATGAAGCTTGCAGGGAGTAGAGTAGAGAAACTTTCTTAGTACAGAGTGCTCAAAATCATTATTTTTGACTATTTATGGTGGATTAAAGATGTTAAAATTAATTACCTATGGTTACGTAAAATGATTAATTTTATCAGTTTTCAATATAATGGATTTCCGCAAAGTAACACACAATTCTATTAATCTATGGAGGAGTCCTGTTGTCCCTGTTTTCAGAAGTAGACTCGTGATGCATTATGACGCTATTATAACATTTGAAAAGCTAATCAGTAATAAAAATGTATTTAGTATAATAATTAATGGTACTGGAATAGTGAGAACGTATTTAATTATTGTTTGCATAAAAATATGATTACACAGAAACCTAATATTTGATTACGGTCGCACGTTTTGCTGATAATACGTGTTTTATAACACAACATGTTTGATAACACACATTTTATAGCGTAGGTGATTTATTTTGTTCGTTAATTACCCGACTGCCCTAGAAGGAAAGTAATGTTTTTCGAGGGTATGTTTGTATGTCTATTTGTTTGACACTCTCTATAGACTATAAAAGACTTGATGGATGTTAACATATGGGCTGTCGTTAGATTCGTCTTAGTTGTGAAAGTTACATGGGGTATATTTTTTCTTTTTTTTTCTCAGTAAATTCTTTTATGCAGTCGGATTTTTTTAATTACTGTTTAATGATTGGGTTTGTTTTTGAACAATATATTAATCGTTGTTATTAATTTAAACATAATAATAGCTATCGTCTATATACTGATTATAAAACAAATACAGTTAATGCCAAAGTCATAGCATGTATTGAATATTATACATAATTATTCTATATGCAAGTACACCATAAAATTTTGCGCCTGCATATTTAAAAAAAATCAGAACGTAATGAAAAATTTTAATCAATATCGACACAGACAATATTGTGGCAAAAGAGAATTCACTACCCCATGTAAAAATTGTGGCAAAAAGAGAATTCACTACCCCATTTCATACTGTGCATGTTGTAAGATGCTAAAGACTACACTCGTCATAATACAATACAGCGGTTGCCAACCTGCCTACCAAGTGTAACTATGGCAAATATCCCCCCTATGCTGCAATATATAGGGGTTGTCTTCGTAAGTACAAAAGGATAGTTCTTTGTTCTGCAATTATTTTCATTTTTTGTACTTTTACATTAATTTATATTATTTACTTGCTAAAAGTAACATTTTTTTCCAATAACGTACCAAATTCAACTAACTGTTATGCAAACAATATTCAACACAATGTTTCAACATATTATTATTATATATATATGTTTTGCAATCCTTATCATACTCATAATAAAAATCACAGTTTCAAACACTAAAAAAAATTTAACGAGATATTATATACCTCTCTTCAAATGAATTTTAATACAAACTTACGAATTGAAGTAAACCAAATAAATTAATTTCTAAATTCCTAAAGGGGCAAAATTACAATTTTTTAACTTATACAGTCTCTGCTTGAAATTTCACACAACTATATACTTTATAAATTATAAATTTAAGAAACAAAATTTTGATTGCTTATTTTCTTATTTTCAGATCTGCGTAGATCCTATTTTCGACCTCCCCGGGGAAACAGTAATTATCACAGTTAAATACAAAAAAGAAAAATAT